TGTAATTGTCTAACCACTATGCTGTATATCTGAAACTAATATAAAGTGACATTGAAAGTCAGCTGCAATTGAAAACTAAAATTTTAAAAGAAAAGCCATCACAAGGAAGGAGAGGGGCAAGAGGGGAAGAGGGGCAATGGGAGTGGTTTGGTGTCAGTGTGAGAAAGAGCTTCCTCCTTGTCAAAGAGCTCCAGCTGGGGCGATGTGTGCCTGGAGAGCAAGGACATTGTCTCCCTAGGAGTCTCTGGCAAAGGTTCAGCCATCACACCCACAGAGCAAGCAAGGGCGACAGTCAAAGGGTGTCAGACATCAGGTGAGGACTGGACCAGGGTGGGTCTGAGATCACTTGCAAAACTGAGACTCTGTCATTCTGTAGACCTTGAGTTATTGCCTTTTAATTAAAAACTGAAAGCACCTTTCCTAAGGCTTGACATTCAATATCCTGGAGACAAAAGCCTACGGAGTCAGTTTTAGTATCTGTGTGATCACAGTAGTTGTTGTAGCAAAACTTTTTCTTAATACTCAGTGGCTGGGATATCGGCCAGCTCAGGAAGGGTCTGGGGTTCTATTCCTGGTTCAACCCCCAGCCCAGGGTGAGTGCAGGAGGCAACCAATCGATGTGTCTCTCTCACATTGATGTTTCTCCCTCTCTTTCCTCCTCCTTTCTTCCACTCTCTAAAAATCAATGGGGAAAACTATCCTCTGGTGAGGATTACAACAACAAAAATATTATAATTCACTTCAGTTTTGCCTTTTTGACAAGTGCTGCTGTTGAGAGAAGTGCATCCACAGTTTTGTTGTTTTGGTTGTTACTTGGGAGTTTGGAGCGGGGGCAGGGAGGGGAGAACTTGGGCTTGTATTTAATGGACTAAATCTCGGTGTCTCAGATTTGACGCTTTTCCCCTCTCCACTAAAGTAATGGAAATATACTCACCCAGTCATTCCCTTCCAGAGGTGCAAATGGATTTTCTGAAGGTTTTTTAAGAGACAATCAAAGCTCATCACTTTGTGACTTGAATTCTTCAGGTATTGCAATCAGAAAGCTTAACAAACTCTCCCAACTGCAAGGATGCTAAAACTATGTTTTGACCTTGAATCTGCAGTGGGGGCAGTAAGGGGGGGGGGGGGGAAGAAGGGGGATGTGTAACATCTTTTGCTAGAAGTGCTCATCCACCACCTCTTGGTTTTAGTCATTGGTGTAGAATTTACTTGGGAAAGAGAAAGAAGAAGCAATCAAATTGAAGCTTCAGAGTGTGAGGGAAAATTACAAGTTGATATGACTTTGCAGCTCCCAATGATAGTTGCTATTACAGTTTAAATTTTTAGGTCACCCTTTTTATCATTGATATTTGCAAAAACCTGACTTAAAAAGGGTATCAGCCATGACACACAAAGGCTTATTTCTCAATTTGATTCATGTCATCAAAAAGACATAATGAGTTTAGAGCTCCTCTCGAGTTTAGTCTTAAAATATAACCCTGAGGAAACAGGGTAAGATTGCAAAGACTTTACTTACACCACTCGGGATCCCTGACTCTGGAGTCAGGAAGCTAAAGATTGAATTTCCAGCATTGCCTCTTTTTATTTCACTCAGTGTCTCTGAGTCTCAGTTTCCTTCCCTAGCAGATGGAGAAATAATAGTACCTAGGGTTATTGTGAAGATTATATAAGGTAATAGACACTAAGCCCTCAGCACATCTTAATTTCCCCATAAATGTTGGCTATTATTATTCTATTGCTAATTCTAATGGCTTCACCAAACCTTAATTATGGAGCTCTTGTCCAGATTAATGACATTCTGGCTGAATCATTCCCTTATACTGCTGCAAAGCAGGTTTCGGCATTGTGTAATGATTCATTCTTAGCGAATGAACTTGAACAGCCATTTTTGAGAAAATAATGGGGAATCTTGAATCCAGAATTGGTAAATGCATCCTATTTGCCAGGAACTTTTTAGGAACAAATATGTAACTATTTTAGGATCAAATATCATAAGTCCTAATGTGTTTTGGTGACTATACACTTGAAATGTCCAGGCAGGAAAACCTGCAGATCACAGTGCTCTGCCTCCCAGAATAAGGTCCTTTCTAAGAATCGGTTGTCAACTAGAGACCAAGGTCTTACAGCAACTAATCGCTGCCCACATGCCTCAGCGGGGCTCTAGAAAACTGCACTGGCCACTGAGATCTCCTCTCCAGGGACCAGAGGTGTAGTGGAGTCAGTTCTGGATTGGGAGATAGACAAAACAGGCTCGAGTGGGCCAGGATGAGAGCAAGCAGTGCTTGGCCCTGATTCAGGCTTCCCCCCTGGCTACCTGCCTCTTAGCACACAGCTACATCCCCTGAGAGGTCTTGGACTGTGAGAGGGCGCCATTTATTTTCTGTGTGACTTTGGTCTGGTTGCTTGGCTTTTCTCAACCCCAGTTTCCTCATCTGTGAAGTTGGCTATTTTATAACCTAACTCCTTTAAGATTGTATAAATGTGCATAAAAGTGCTGAAGCCAAATGCCATTAATAGTACTGGTATTGTTGCTATTACTAATGCCATGCCACTATTGCAAAGGAAAATAAATGGGAACTGGAAGAACATGGGTCCCTGTGTACAATATATGACACCAGTAAGACTCCTCAAACACAAGACAAATATCCTCAGAGTGGTGATGAGACTCAACCTTCTTCCTGGCTGAAAATCCTTATCCTATGACATTTATACTTCCTGTGTCTCAGAAGTATTATTAACGTTATTTATAATCCAAAATTCACATTAATATGTTTATTTTTTATTTTTTAATCTGAATTTAAGTGAACTGACAACAGAAAAACTGCTTAGGTTATAAACTAAGTCATATCCATTCTCCATATACTAAATTATTTACCAACTCATTACACCCTTGTTTTAAATTCTTCAGTCATCACCATTTGTTGATCGGATCCCAAGCTTTCTCTCTTGACCTGCAAGGCCTTTGGTGATCAATTGCTCAACTTTTCATAGTTTTGTGAATGCCTTCCCTCTTCCTGAAATATCCGTACCCCTGTCTGCTGGATCTGTTTCCATTAATTCTTATAATTAATGGAACAATGCCTAGCCTATAAGTGGACATTCAATAAATGTTTAAACAAATTGACTTGAAATCCGATGGCTCCTACATAGACTGAAACAAGCGAGTATTTTTGTTTCCACTTGGCCTTGTAAAGTCTGAAATTCCTACTAATGTCTGAATATATTCCACATCATCAAAAGACAATAGCTCTTATAAATTATTTTGCACATGTAGCTCTCCTAAATGTGTCAATGAGAATTTGTTTCATAGACACTAATGGAGTTGATAAGCCACAATATATGTTTTAGTAAATAGGTTAAAAATATAACATAAATTAAAATGCTATATTCCATTGTCCATTGCAAAAGTTTGCACAATCAAGAAGCATGTGTTCTATTATCCTATCTAATGTACTAGTTGACCACTACGCCCTCACAAATGTGGCGGCACCCACAGCCAATAAGGAGGGAATATACTAATTGACCACCACGCCCTAAAGATGGCGGCGCCCACAGCCACAAGATGGTGGCACCCAGTCCCCTCAGCCCTCACAGTCAGGCCCACCCCCAGGCAGGTCCAGCCACTTTATGCGCCTGCCTCTGGAATCCCCCAGGTCCCTCAGCCTCTCAGCTGCCCAGGGCGCAGGCAAGCCTCAGATGGCAGGTACCCAGCCACCCTGGGCCGCCCAAGGCTCAGGTAACCAGGGCCGGCTGAGGCTTGCTCTGCTGGCAGTGGCAACAGTAGAGATGTGATGCGAGTGTCTCCTTCACTGCAAGATGGGGCAGGCCGGGCTGAGGGACCCCCCCCTCCAATGCATGAATTTTGATGCACCAGGCCTCTAGTTTAACAATAAAATAGGCATATGTGTGAATAATCACATGAGTATACGCCTATGAAAGTCATGATAGTAATGTTCACATGAGATAGGCCAGTCCCTCTTGAGGTCACGTCCAAAAGCTTGTAGTAACTAATGACAAAAGGTCTTCCTAAAGGGTTTCTTTCTCAAAAGTAATGAAGCAGTACCATCCATAGATTTTGGGCAGAATATACTCTCTGTCCGTGTGCCTGTCTCCCTTTCTCACACACATGCACACAGACTCTTTGGGATCACAAAGTTCCAAGTAGAATTCATTAATAAAAATATGAAATGTGTTTTGTTTTATAAATCATAGTGAGGTGTGGAGAGATAAAGGAAGAACTAAGGGGTGAATAGTAATCTCCTGCTTTCTACTGAAACCTGTCAGTTCACTCCCAACTCAAATACCTGGTTTAAAAGATTTATCTACAAGAAACCTAAAAGTTTGTATCCTGCCTCATCGACAACAGCCTCAAACTGTTCCTTGTCATCTCAGAAAACAAATCTTTTGCTCCTTCCTGCTTAGGGGAGGCCGAGGGACGGAGGTGGTCCTGTGTGGCCGAATTAGATGAAAGACTTGCCTTCCACCATGGAGACATGGAGTCTAATCAAGCGAAATGAGTTCTGAGATCCCAGCTCATTTCCTAGGGGACATCAGTTCACATTACAAAATCATGGCGTCTCATTCATCACAACTGACTCAGTCTTTGCTCAGGAGAGAACCCCAACTGGGACTAAACCACCTGTCTTCCATTGCAAAGAGGCACTTTATCTGAGTTAGAGCTGAAAGCCTAGGAGTGAGGAAGCTTTCCAACTTCCACCCGAGTGATACACATGCAACGTGGAAGGCAACTTAAGTTTTGCAAAGGAAGACGAGTTTAAGGAAGATTGGTGGTTGTGGTCTTAAAGATGCCAGACACAAATAATTATCACAGAGATGCTACGGCATAATGGTGGAGAGAGCCAAGATTGGGGCTCCCTCTTCTTTATCTCCTAGGTTTTATTAAAGGATAAGCATTTCCATGCATCAGAGTTTAAAATGGCAATGAAAGTGTGCTGATTTCTATGCTGATAAATGATCATCATCTCTTTTATTTCTTTCAGGGCATTGTTATAACACCCCTGCTACTGCTGCTTTTTGTGAGTATTTTGATGTTGTCTTTAATATCTTTTATTAAAAGCCATCTACAAACCTTGAAGAAAGGCCATTAAAATAGAATTGAAATTTGAATCATTTTGCATGACTTTGCATCGCATTTTGAACTGTTCTCCCATTTGAGCAGTACCAAGTAATAACATGTGGACCCAAAGGGTCTCTGAAGCCTCATGATCCAAGGCCAGTGTCAGGGCCCAGTTATTAAGCCTCCAACTCCTGGAAAAGCCATGAATTATTAGAAATTAGTGGCCTGTGACATAGGTCACAAATGAACCACTCTTTAGTTTTTCATTAGTAAAACCAAAGTGATTGCTAGTAACCCAGAATTTGATAGAAAGAGCCTTGAGTCCAGAACCAGAGACTGCTTAGGTTCCAAGGCTGACAACCAGCTTCCCCACTTTGGGGAATACTGCCTCAATTTCTTCATCTGTAGAATGGGAAGCAATATTACCTACCCCATTGTGCCTCCCAGGAATACTGAATTGTGCTTTAGAAAAAAATATATATAAGCTACTGGTTAACTAAACAAAAATTGTACAGAAAATAAGAAATGCTAATTAGCTGTCTTATTTCTTTTTGTACTAAGCATATGAGAAATTAGATGAAAAATTATAATAGAAATTAATGTTATCTCATGCTGAGAAAAGCATATGTAATCATGAGTGATACCTAAAATATTTTATGAACTGTGCATTTTTCATACACACATCTCCCAAATATAAATCACTCTACTGATCACTGCAATGGAGGGGGTGTGTTTCTGGGAGTGAATTGTAGCTGTTTAACTAGCACTGTTTGTCAGTGAATTAAAACTATGGGGAAAATTTATTTAATTATAGGGTAATTACCCAAGTTGGAATTCAATTAGAGTAATAGAGTGAGGGACTTCATTTCCTACAAGCTGTGCAGGAAGTGGAGAGGGAGAGATACTACTAAACAGTTGGATTCTGCATCATTCATGAAAGACATTATTACCTTTAAGTACGAAGGCCCAGCCTTCCCTTCCCTTTCCTTCTCTTCTGAAATGCTAGCTTCCTTCTGACCAGGTTAGGGGCGTCCAATAATTAGATTACTTCTCTGGGCATAACAAGCCTCATTCATTTGGACTTCACCAGTTCAGAATTTGCAGTGAGTCCACTTGAAACTGAAGTGAATATTGATTTGCATTTGTTTGAAATACAAGACTTGGCACGTACCTACCTGCTCACCAGATGTGAGGGCCTGGGTTCATCCCTTGGTGTTGTTTCTGAAACAGGGTCACAGCGTGCCAGGAGCATCCCCTGCATACACAGCATGGGCCAGTCTGCAGTCCCACTGCAGTGGGCCAGGGGACTAGTACAGAGCCACAGAGCCAGGTATCTGGTAACTGTACAGCAAATGGCCATGTAGCCCAGGCTTTCTCCACTTCAGAAGAAATAAAGAGTGGCATCTCTGACTCATGTGACTCTTAAGAAAATCCGGGAGAAGTCATAGCCACAGCTAGAGGGCTGAGACCTAGGGTAGCACTTTTGAGTATCTCAGAGGCTGGAATCTCTGGGGCCCCGTTTTGGCTCATGATTAAAGAACCAGAGGAGTCCTTTTCCCCTCTCCTTCCCATCTCCATACCATGGAGATTTTCTCCATGGATTAATATTATGGCATCATACTATTGCAAGTTTCCCCCCTTCTTGGACCCACAGACTTGTGAGCTTAGGTTGGTTCTACATTTTAAAATAAAAGAGCAACAAGAATAGCGAAAGAAATCCCAAGATCCTGAACTTAAAAGTGTAATGTTTCCCCCTGAGCCACTTGGGCTGTCCCAATAGGTTGGCACAGACATCATCACCCAACATTGATAGACACTTTTATGTTCTATGACTTTAACTCCCATGCACAGTATATAGCACTTTTGTCACTTTAGGTTGTCATGCAATTTACAAACAGTGGGCATTGCTTAAACACTTGGGTTACCAGGCCTCATTTCCTGAGCAGGAAAAAACCTGAGCAACTTAAAATACGATCATGTTCCATAAAAGATGTAGTGTTGTTGTTCTCATCAACATCCCTGTTATGGGTTAAGTAGTATCCCTCAAAAAGATGTGTTGAAGATCAAACCCATGGTACCCCAGAATGTGACCTAACCCACAGTACCCCAGAATGTGACCTTATATGAAGATAGGCTTATTGTAGATGTAATTAGTGAAGTTATATTGCTGTAGGGTGGGCCCTTACTGCCATATGACTGGTGTCCTTATAGGAAGGGGAGCCAGAGGCACACAGGGAGAATGCACATCAGGTGGAAGCAGAGAAGGAGTGTTGGGTCTACAACTCTAGGAACACCAAAAGTTGCTGGCAAACTTCAGAAGCAAGATAAAATGAGGAAGGATCCTCCCCTACAGATTTCACAGGAAGCACAACCTCATTGATCTCAGACTTAATAGCTTCCAGAACTGTGAAACAATATATTTCTGTTTATCCAGTTTGTGGTGTTATCCTATATAATAAAAGGCTAATATGCAAATCTACCGAACAGCAGAACAACTGGTCACTATGATGAGCACTGACCATCAGGGGGCAGACACTCAACTGGGAGCACTAAGAATTTCCGACTATGCGAGGGCACAGGCTGGGCTCAGGGACTCCCCTCCCTCCCTCCTCAAGTGCATGAATTTTGTGCACCAGGCCTCTAATGTTACAGAAGAAACTAAAACAACACCTGGAAATTAATTGTCTTTTTTAAAAATCATATCTTGAAAGGGGGTGTGTTCTCATTCACAAAGGGAGAGTATGGCCTCCTAAACACAGAGTTCATCCATAGTAATGGGAGGGAGAGAGGTAGAATAATTCTTATTGAGTAGATATAGTGAGAATTTATTACATAACCCCGTGTCAAGAGCATGGCTACCTTTAGAGGTAGGTATTATCCTCACTTTATATGAGAAAACTTAGATTCAAAGAGTTATTATAACTGGGTTTAGACTGTACAACTAAAGAGCACAAGCGTTTTCAGTCAAGAGTCTGCCTCCCCGAGGGCCCCTTCCAGGTGATACACAGCAAGCCTCCCAGGAGGCAGTGGTTTTAAGACATGATCAGCACTCAATTGCTACTTCTTGAATATTTTTATTCTGGGTAACACATGAAAGACTAAATAAGAACAAGGCATAATTATTACCTTGAACAAACTTAAAGTTTATTTGGGTAAATAAGAATAAAAAATGGTGAAGACATTTAGAGGGAAAATTAGCCACTTCGCTGTGTTACTCAGACTGAGTTGCATAGGAGTTCATGGAAGAGAGAGGTCGGGGTCAGGGAGAGAAATCCAGGCCTGGCCTTGAGGCTGCAGTCATATTAGCTTTCTTAGTAAACGGCTATCTGTGGTAAAAAAAAATAATTCTTCAACTTCTGATCCATCAATAGAAACAATGAGTACAGCCATTACTGTCTTATAGAATAGTCTATTTTTTGTCATATGTTCCCCATGTTCATTGCATAATTGATAATCACATGTATGAAATGATAACAAAACACTTAAAGAGAAGCTATCCATTTAATTGGCCTAGATGTTTTACTCCCGTAAATGTTTCTAAAGCAAGTGAGGACCAATATTCTCTTGAACCCAAGAGTAGCTTATCTTCTGACTGTGTGTGTAAATCGCACAGAGGTGGTTCTCACACAGGGAGAACTTTTTGAAGCTAAATAATCCGGAGTCTTTAATAAAAATCCCTGCCAGGGCTCTCCCTCAGACCCCCAGACTTTTGAACCCTAAAGAGCCAGGAGGAGCACCTGATACACCATTTCCAAATGCTCTAGCTAGAAGTGACATTGATATACTCCCTTCTCCTTTAAGGAAAACCACCACAGAGGCCAGCTCCCCTGCTGGTCTGGGACTTCTCAGGCTGCACTGAAGGGAGGGAGACAGAGACTGGGTGAGCTCAGGCACAGCGCTGTCTCCGCCACACTTTCCCTGCCCCTAGCTCCTCCCAACACCAGCTGCTGGCCTCCCTGAGCAGGCGGGGTCTGCTCTGCACAGCATGAGGAGGACTCTGTGTCCTTGCACCACCCTTGCTGAGGGTCCCCACACTCAGAGCGCTCTTCTGGGGGAGCTTCAGCATCTGCTCAGTTTAAGGGACTGTTTGGTTAGCAGCAGTAGGCACTTCGGTTCCTGAACCAAACTAATACTGACAAGACCAGATCCTGTGGTCCGGGGATTAGAAGCAAAGATTGTTTCTGGGTGCTTCTGAGATTCTCTGCCCCCAGCCCTCCAGGTCCCCAAAGCCTGTCTCCCCACAGCATTCCTCTGTGCACTGTGATATGCCAATTTACCATTCATTTGGGTGCATCCCACTAAAATGTCTGTGTGGTTTGAGTAACCGTTGTACATTGGGGCCTTCAGTTATGGAAGGTAATCTTTTCATTTTAGGTTTTACATTAGCCTATACCAACAAGACATGTTTTTACATATTTTTTGTCTTTGAACATCAGTTGAAGCCTGTTTTGCTCGTTCCTTCCCAGAACAGGACACACCATGCACCTGGAGTAAAAAAGGCCCTTCCCCAACTAAATTCATGCCTTCCAGGTAGTGACCCAGCTCTAGTTTGATACGGGCAGCTGAATCAGAATCAGCCACATTCTTCACAATCATGTTCTTAATTTTAATAGAAATAAAAGCCAGTTTGACACGGAGCCTGTCAGCTGGTGTACACTTAACTCCTCTGTGTGTGGAAGTAATCAATGTCATCGTTGTGTCCCTGGAGAGAAGGAGCAGCTGGGTGAAAGAAAGGCTCAACTGGAGTTTCTGGGGGAAGATGGAAACCTAGAAGGGATTGGGGGCTGGGACCAGGGACACTGCTGTCGGCTTCTCTCTGTAACGGAAAGGAGAGAGGTATGGGAGAGTCCGTCCGTCTGTGGGCACTAGACAGTTAGATGCGATAGTAAACAAGTTCCTTCCTTCTTCCCCTTCGCCCAGGACTGGGCTCCATGGTGATGGGTGATGGGCAGGGTAAGG